ATGGGACAGGAGTTACAGACAGTTGTGAGCCACTATGTGGGTGCTGGGAATTAAACTCAGGTCCTCTGGAAGAACAGCCAGTGCTCTTACCCACTGAGCCATCTCTTCAGCCCCATCTTTCTTCATTTGAGACAGGGTCTTGCTGTATAGTCCTGGCTGGCCTGGGGCCCACTCTGGAGACAAGCCTGCCTTTGCCACCTGAGTTCAGGGATCAAAAGTAAGTGCCACCATGGCCGGCAGAACAAATTAACTTTAGTCCAAACCTGCTCAGGGACTTATGATCCACAGTGTTTTACTGGAAGGCTCTCAGTAGCAAGCCTGTGTGAGTAGAATAGGAAGTGTGAACACACGTTTCCCCACATGGCAAAGCTCCTCTTCAGTTAATGTTGTAATTTTTTTCTAAGATATTTTAAGAGTACAATTAATTACAAAAACAGGATATTGATGAATAAATTACTGATAATACTCTATAATTTGAGGGCATTCACCATGGTTGTCCAACTTTTCCCCTAATGTAGATTTAATTATTGAGCTTTCACATTTTCTAGTCTCTTTTACATTTCCCTGGACGTCTGTGGGCTTATTTCACGTGGAATGTTTAGTTTCCTTGAAGTCTTCCTCTGTCCTTTGGGGTGTGTTGCAGGCCATTCTTACCTCGGCTTGTGTTAGTCTTTCTGCTTGGGTATAAACCCATTCTCTGTCCATTCGATTCAAACCCCTCTCCCTCCCCTGCCCTGGTTTAACACATCTGCTTTCTTACCCATCACTCAGCAAGTACACACACCATTTATAAGAATTCTAAGGTGTCTTCTAGGCCACCGATCTGAAGTAGATAAAGCCGGTTAACAGTGGGGTTAAGTCTTTGCTCACCAGAGACAAAGAAACCAGCTATTACTATGGGACCATGCCCCTCACTTGTTGAAATCCTAAATTCTCTGGCGCTGATCCCCAAAGACAGGCCCCCTAGGTTTCCAGATACCCCCCAGGGGAAGGGCTTGATGTGCTCTTGACTCCTGCAGCCTGTCTTTCTGTCCACCATAAATAGCATCTGCTTCCATAAGCCAGCGGCTTCTCCCCGGTTGATTTCACAGGTCCCACTTTTTAAGCTGCACTGCACTCACCATGTTAAGGGTTGAACGCATGATATTTCCGAGGCACATGGTTTGGCTGCATGGTGACTAGATGGAGGGACTTCTAGAGAGGTTCTAGAAACTTTGAGGGATAAGTTTCCTAGCTGGAAGAAGTAAGCCGCTGGGTGTGGGTCTTTGGGGTGGACCATCTCTACTCCATCGCAGCTCAGTCTGTTTCCGGCCCCGCAGGTACTAAGGCCTTCTGACACCGTCAGCCGCAGTAGTCCCTTCTTCCTTGTAAGTTGTCTGAGAAGATCACAGCAGGGCAAAATGAACTAATATGAACGGTGACCGTTCATCACCTGCCTGTTGTCATGTGACTGTTCATCTCCTGCCTGTTGTCATGGTGACTGTTCATCACCTGCCTGTTGTCATGTGACTGTTCATCACCTGCCTGTTATCATGGTGACTGTTCATCACCTGCCTGTTATCATGGTGACCGTTCATCTCCTGCCTGTTGTCATGGTGACTGTTCATCTCCTGCCTGTTGTCATGGTGACTGTTCATCATCTCCTATCATGGTGACCGTTCATCACCTGCCTGTCGTCATGGTGACCGTTCATCACCTGCCTGTTATCACGGTAACCGTTCATCACCTGCCTGTTGTCATGGTGACCGTTCATCACCTGCCTGTCATCATGGTGACTGTTCATCATCTCCTATCATGGTGACCGTTCATCACCTGCCTGTCGTCATGGTGACCGTTCACCACCTGCCTGTTGTCATGGTAACCGTTCATCTCCTGCCTGTCATCATGGTGACCGTTCATCACCTGCCTGTTGTCATGGTAACCGTTCATCTGCCTGTACTACAGCCTTTGCTTCAGCAGTGTTTTCTGAGGCAGTGGTTTTCTTCTTCACAGAACTTGACTTTGGAAGTTTCAGTAGTGGAAGCTGGAAGAAAGCCCACCGTTGACACTGCAGCGTCTCTTACCGTCTCCTAAGCCTGCAGCTTCCTAGTGCTTCTTCCTTAGGATTCCTGAGCTGCCTTTGTTTTGTGTGCCTGTACCAGACGCCTTTCCTCAAAGAAGCTAGCTTGTGTTCTCGGGTCTGGTGTGAGCCATGGACAGCCAGAACTTCCAGAGACCCTTTCCAAATGTAGTTCTTTCCTTTCTCTGGTGGTGACCAATGCCGGCAGCTGTCTGAGAGAGAAATAGTCTACTTCCCTTGTGCTAGACTTACACTCCTCAAAGATAAGGACACAGAACTTCACCTGTGCTCCAAGGCTAACCCAAAATGTTAAAATGTCTGCTATTTTAGGCACTGCACTTTCTCCATGCTGTGACAAAATTAAACATGAGATAACTCATGCTTAAATACATTGTAACTCAACATAAATCATAAGTGAAAATTATGTTAGTTGTAATAGCATCTCCCACTGCCCTCCTCTCTTCTTGGAAAGACTTCCAGGCGAATGTATTGTACTTGCATCTTCATGGAATTTCTTATGTTCTTCTGTCTATATCTCAATGTATGATATTTCTAAGCAAGTCCCATCTAACCTCTTCCTACTTAGCTATTGGCCATTCAACTCTTTATTAAACCAATCAGAAGGCACCTTGGCAAAGACACATTTGATAGTGTAAACAAATATTCCGCAACAGACGTGGTGCTGGAGGAATAGCGGACAGTCCTACATCTTGCAGGCAACAGGAAGACACTGGGCAGTATTCTGAGCATAGGAAACTTCAAAGCCCACCCCCACAGTAACACTTCCTCCAACAAGGTCACACCCACTCCAACAAAACCACCCCTCCTAAAAATGTCACTCTGTATGAAATTAATGGGGGCCATTTATATTCAAACTACTACAGAAGGGGTTCTTGGGAGTAGAGAAAAGTTCAGAGTTATATTTCTATATGGAGGAGCCCAAAGCTACCTATACATTTAGTAGGTCCTTAAATACCAAAGGGATGATGAAATGAAGTACAAGTCAAGGGATACTTGTTAAGATGTAGTAATTATGTAACCAAGAAAATAGACATAGATTAGAAATGATTCAGAAAAGTTTCACTGCTGAATGATATTGCATAAGACTATTGTACTCATATTTAATTTTTCCCCTGGTAGAAATTTACCCTTCCTGTTACATGAAGTTAAAATATTATCTTGTTCTGATGCCTATTATTCATCTTTTAAATTTCCCTGTTCTTTCTGGAAATCATATCTTCTTCTCTTGATTAGTGCTAAGGACAGGCCCATCTCAAACAAAATCAAAGGAAGATTTTCTCCAATGTTTTCTTCTATGTTTAGGTTTGATCTATGGGGAGCTCGTGATGTGCCAACTACTATGAACTGTCCATGGAGTCAAGTTTTTTACTCAAAAGAAATAGTCAGGCCAGGCATGATGGCACATGCCTTTTATCACAGTACTCCAGAGGCAGAGGCAGGTGGATCTCTGAATTAAAGGCTGGCCTAGTCTACAGAGTGAGTTCCAGGACAGCCTGGGCTACATAGAGAAACCCTGTCTGGGGAAAAGAAAAAGGTTATGAGTAGGTTTCTCAACTTACAAGGATTGATTTTTATAGTCCAAGAGAGTTGAAAGAAATTGATATTATTGAGCATTTTTTATGTATTGAATCTTTGCAAGAATATGAGTTAGGAATTAATGTCATTGAGGATGACAAAGTTCAAGTTTTTTCCCAAAAAAGGTTCAGGTTATATAGCTGTTAAGCAGTGGAGTCGTAAAGAAAAGAAAAAAAAAAAAAGGAGTAAGTCAGAAGAATTGTGTGGATCCTAGTGGACAGAGGAAGAGGAATTTTTTTAAAAGTCTAAATATCTCTGGGAGAAAAGTGTCAGTGAATCGCTGATATTTTACCAGCTGCAAGATTTCCGATGAAAATATTCCCTACTAGTGGTCAGAGGACAGCTTTGCTAAAGACATTTAAAAAGGTAAATGACATTTGTAATTGAGTTTGCAGGGTAAGAACATACCATTCTTGACTTTGTCATTCATCTTTAATCAATGCACTGCGACTTTTTAAATTTTTATTTGATTGATTGATTGATTTTGGTTTTTTGAGACAGGATCTCACTATGGCTGTCCTGGAACTCACTCTGTAGACCAGGCTGGCTTTGAACTCACAGAGACCCACCTGCCTCTGCCTCCCGAGTGCTGGGATTACAGGCGAGCGCCACCACCGCCCGGCTGCACTGTGACTTTTCAAAGTATTTGTTTCTGAAATAAAGTTGTCACGGTAATGGTGACCTGATGGTTGTCATTTTAATCAGACACTTAACATACTTTTTAGGTCATGAGAAGTTGGGGTCCCAGCGCGAATGCTATGGCAGCCTGGGCTGTGCAGATGCGGTGGCTCGCGTGGTGGAGCGCGTGGAGTTTGACTGAGCGGGGGCTTGCTGGCCGGGGTCGTTCGAGGAGCCGGGGGATCGGCGATCGGTGGATCCGCAATCGATGGATCGGCGCTCGGCGTGAGGGTCGGTGAGTGGCCGCGGCCTGGGCCTGGGCGCGCGTCGTCGGCATCGGCGTGGGAACCCGGGAGCGACGCGGGTGGGTGTGGAGGGGCGCGGGCGGGTGTGGAGGGGGCGCGGGTGGGCGTGGAGGGGGCGTGGGAGGGTGAAGGGGGCGCGGGCCGCCCAGCGGCGCGGCTTGGCCCGGGCGCCATCTGCTGGGCAGGCGGGCGAGGGCGCGCGACTCCTCGGCGTTCCTGTCAGAGGGGCCTGAGGGGGAGCTGCCCTGGGGGGGCCGGGGTGGGGGGCCCGGGATGAGGGACCCGGGGGTCCCCACGTGCACCACGTCAGCCGCTAACCGGGAGCCGCTGAGCCCTTTTTTTGGGGAGTTGAGAGGGTTTGTCTGTGTAGTTTTGGAGCCTGTCCCGGAACTCGCTCTGTAGCCCAGGCTGGCCCGGAACTCACAGAGATCCGCCCGCCTCTGCCTCCCGAGTGCTGGGATGAGGGCGGGCGCCGCCTCCCAGCTCACCAGGTCCATTTTCCCTCCCCTGGGGACGCGATGCCGACCGGCGGGCGGGCGACCTGGTTCTCCAGTCCCTGTCGGGGCCGTGGTCATCTGGTGCTTGGCCCCGGGGCCGGGCTGCTTTCCTGACCGGTGCTTTCCTGCGAGTCAGTGTTGTGCGTGTGTAACAGGCTCCCCACGGCTAGCCCAGGCTATCCCGGAGTCACTGGGCAGCCCGTCCTGGTTCTGCTCTTCCACCGCCTTCGGTGGGAGTTCCTGCCGGGGACCACTCCCATGGACGGTGTGCGTTCTTCAGTGTGAAAATGAGAGCCCACAACCCGCAGTTTACACATAAGTAGCCGATTACGGAGAATAGGATAGTAGAGTTGCCGACGGAATTAGAGAGAGGTGTGTGCTAACTTCAAGCAACACACTGCACTCACGAAGTAAAACTACTTCGTGACTGAGTACTTACTGAGTTTTGCACTGTATTTTGTGGTGAAACCTGTTTTTTGTTGTAGCCCAGGCTGACCTCAGCTGAGACCAGCCTCGAACTGATCCTCCTGCCTCCACTTTCCCAGGGCTGGATTTTAGACTTCTACTACTATGCCCAGCTCTGAAATAAGAACTTTGTGATAAATTTAAAATATCTCAATCTAAACCTAAAACTTTAATTAAAAATTTATCATCTTACATCAAATGTAACAAGGTTTATTTTAGATACTATTTTTCGTTTGTTTGTTTTTTGGTTTTGGTTTTTGGTTTTTTGAGACAGAATTTCTTTGTGTAGTTTTGGTGCCTGTCCTGGATCTTGCTCTGTAGACCAGGCTGGCCTTGAACTCACAGAGATCTTCCGGGCTCTGTCTCCCAAGTGCTGGGGTTACCACCTGGCTAGATACTATGTTTTGTTTTGTTTTGTTTTTTTTTTAAAGATTTATTTACAAGATGAAAGTTCCAAATTTACAATCTTTTAGATCCTTAATGGTGTGATTACATGAATCTTGAGCTAGAAGAAAAATTCAAAAATTTAAACTTAACATTAACTGTGGGTAATCAATTAACTGAAATTGTTTTATTTAGAATTATAGCTGATTGCTAGTGCATTCATTCTACATTAAATTTTTTTTTCTTTGGTTTTTCGAGACAGGGTTTCTCTGTGTAGTTTTGGTGCCTTTCTTGGATCTCGCTCTGTAGACCAGGCTGGCCTTGAACTCAAAAAGATCCACCTGGCTCTGCCTCTCAAGTGCTGCGATTAAAGGTGTGCGCCACCACCACCTGACTTCTACATTGAATTTTTATTGATTATCTACTCTGTCAGGAACTGTTCTAGGTTATTGAAACATATAAGAAAAAAATCCCTTCTTTGCTTTGCAGGGAGAAAGATAAACAACTAAATACAAAGTTCCAATTATAGATGAGTGTTATAAAGAAAAATAATGCAGGATTGAGGGATAGAAAATTATAAAGTTTTTTTTAACCAGAGTGTGTACACACACACACACACACACACACACACACACACACACACACTGTTTTTATTCTGTACTAAAAATAAGTTATACCACCTTTTGTACTAGAACTAGAAAAAATGTTCTTGTGACAGTCTTTTCTGCGTATATGGGAGGTCTTTTTGTATAGTGTAACATTTAAAGTTAGTTTTAATCTGTTTTGTTGTCTTATTTCCACTTTCTTTTAGAATAAAGAACTTGATCATACATGTTAGTAATGAGATTTTCTACTTAAACTCTTGAGGTAGTAGATCCCTGTAAACCTGGCTTGATGGGTTTTACTTCATTAACCTTTTGTTGATTAAAATATAGTTCTGACACTAGACAGGAAGCATTTTGCAGCTTCTTGGACAATAAATACAAAGTTGATTAGCATGGGTCTTTCAGGTAACTGTTTTCAAGTTCTGAAATTGTTTCATAAGTAGACGTGAAGATCTGTTAGTGTGTTTCAGAATGATTCCCTTGTACTTTCTGCTCAATTTTCCTTGGCTTCTGGTTATCATGCAGTCAAATTGTTTTAGATGTTTATAGAATTATATTTACTTGTTTTAGTTTGGGCTACTTCTTTTTGTTGGTGACTGGGTGATTAATAAATTGAGAAGAGTATTAAAAGTAAATATAACCCAAATAACTAAAACAATGAAAAACCCGCAGTATTCTGGTTCAGTAAGAACTGTCCTAAAGTGTGTGCAGGATTTAGCCTCTTGTGGCATTTTGTCAAGAGCTACACTGGAAATGGCCTTCCTCCTAACCTAAATATAATTTAGGTGCTACATGTGTTTTATGTTTTCACTAGAGAACTCTCATCTTGGTAACGTAGATTCTAACTTGGTAATGCACTTTTGCTATGAGATGGTGCTCATGTAGTTTTAAAATTTTGAATTTCTGTCCTGAGGACAAATTTCCAGTGTATTGACTATCATATAAGAAATGGAAATGTGGACTGGACAGATGGCTCAGCGGTTAAGAACACCGACTGCTCTTCCAGAGGTCCTGAGTTCAATTCCCAGCACCCACATGGTGGCTCACAACCACTTGTAATGAGATCTGGTGCCCTCTTCTGGTGTGCCTACATACATGTGGGCAGAACACAGTATACATAATAAATAAATAAATCTTAAAAATAGGGAGACGTAATTTATGTTTTATGATTCGTGCATCTAATTTCTTGCTTTGACCTATAGAACACTTCATTATGTTTCAGAATTTAGAAAAATGAGATATAGTTTTGATGTGCAGGGGGTGATAATTGAAATGAAAAAGGAGCAATGTATGCTTTTAACAATGGTGACCTACACACTGAAGGATGTATTAGAATTTGCCAGGAGAAGAATGGAAGTACATTCTAAACATTAGTGCAGTATAGAGAGGGATGCATTTGGGAAAACACATGAATGAACGGAGAATAATGTGTTTCATAATGAAGCATTTTCAAAGAACTTTCGAAAGACAAAGCTAAATAGTTGTCTGTGATTATATTTTAGAAAACATTCTGGGAAATTAATGATTCTCACTTACTTATCCAGAAATTGTTTTTTACATTCTTATAAATGAATATAAACTGCTTTTTTTTTTCTTGTAGATTTCAGACAAAGTCTGGTTTTCAACAATGCTGAAATCAAGCAATTGCTTTTTTTCCATGGATAATTTGTTTTTCAGTAGCCCAGATGAAACTGAAAAGTAAGTGTGCCTGAAAGGAGGGTTATCTAATATATTATTTTCAGTTTTATAATTTTAGGGACTTTTAATTCTTAATAGTTACAGGAATAATCTAGAATATAGTAATGGTGACATTTACATGTTGATAGCCCATGGTTTTAGGTGCAATATGTCACAAGTAATTTGTTGTATGCAGTACTTGAAATGCTAACATTTGAGTGAGGAGAAAATGAAGTGGCCTCACAACTATCATTCAGCCAGCGTTCCTCATACAGCAGTGTGCATCCGTCCTGTGACACACAGGGCAAGATGTTGAGAGCATTGCCATACATACAGGGACAAAGCAAGGCCGTGACAGTTTGTTTATGGAGTGTCAGTCTAAGAGTTTGTATTTGAGTAATGTTTAATAAATAGATGGTTTTTGATAGCCTGTCCTTATTAACATATATTTACATTTTGTTTTCTGTATAGCCTTCCAGTTAAGGAAAAATCACTGGATTGGTTTCTCCCTCCAGCTCCACTGATTTCAGAAATTCCAGATACTCAGGAGTTAGAGGAAGAAATTGAAAGTTATAAACTGTTAAGTAAGTTGTCATGTTTCTTGTGAAGCCAAACTCATGTAGTTTATGTCAGTATAAAAAAAAATCTACTAATATATTGAAGTATTAATTCCTTTTTTGCTTGTGCATCAAATCTCAAGGTCTAGAACATTCACCTTCTCTACAAACACATTCACACAGTGCATAATACACTATCACGTACTTGTTTGTGCTGCTGCTCTATGAATACTAAAACTTGCTAATGCAATTCTGTTTTGTCTTGTTCTTTACAAAAAGTACAATTTTCTGAGAGCCAGATCTCTGAAGTGTTCTCAGTGAAAAACACCAAGATGCAGAAGGTTATGTATAATAGGAGATTATTTTAAACATTGTTAAGCTAATGATGTAGCAGAACATGAGCTTATCATACAGGAGGGCCTCAGTCTTTCCCAATACTACAAAAAAATTTTCCCCCAAACAAGCATGTTCAAACAATGTATGTTTCTTATATGATAATATTCAATTTTTTAATGTTTTATTATGACTCATAATTTATATATGTTTGCATATGAATTTGTATAATAATATTTTTTATGCAGGGCCTCACTGTGTAGCCTTGGCTAGCCTGAAACTCACTATGCAGATGAGGCTGGCCTCTAACTCACAGAGGTCTGTCTGTGTCTGCCTCCAGAAACAACCATCTTTATTTCATGACTACAGTAGTACAGATTATCTTATTATTGTATTGATTCTTTTAACTTTTGTATTATCTAGTAAGCTCTTTAGAAAATTTTTAATTTTGTTTATTTAGTGCCTGTGTTTATGGGGGTACTACCACAGTGTTTGTGAAGTCAGAGGACAACTTGTGGGAGTAAGTTCTCTCCGTCCACCATGTGGGTCCTCGGGACAGAACTCAGGTTCTCGGGCTTGATAGCAGATACTTTACCCACTAAACCATGTCACTGGCCCTCTTTAGAAACTTTTCATTGAAATTTTCTGTCATTATTTAGAAAATTCTTTTCACAAAGAACATGTAATATGTAATAATAATTAGTGTATTTCTTTTATCCTAGGCCAAGGAAAGATGCCAAAAATGATAGCATCAAATCTGAAGATCATTAATGAAGACAAAAGTTGTATTTCACCAATACAAAAATTCCATTTTCCCTGTAATGTGCATAAACAGGATCACCTGAAATTAGGAGGATCAAGTAACAATGACTCATCCCATATTGCTGGCACACTGTTCTATGGCTCTTCTCAGAAGTATAAAGATCACATGGGCACTGAGAATCCACCTGCAAAGAGTGGTCCTGGGGATCTGAAATTCCCTAACGCTGCAGAAGATAGAGGAAAGTACACCTCAGCATTCAAAAAAGGGTAACTAACTAGTTACATAATACGCTGAGCAAATCTGAGTATTAGGTGAACACGGAAAAGAATTAAATTTAATAGGTTGTTGAGAAAAACAGTAGCAACAATAGTTTATGTGCCAGACATTGCCAGGCCTGGGGTTCTGTGCACAGGAGTCTCCAGTTCTCGTCTTTCAGAACTTAAAACTTACCATAAAGGCAAGGATAATGAGCTGCTAAAACTAACTCACTGAATGTTTCATAGTGTGACAGTTATTTTAACAACATACATGATTAGAGCAAAGATTCTCAAACTTTTCTTATTGGTGCCCTTTAATACTTAAAATTAACTGAGGAATCTCAGTTTTCTTTAGGTGGGTTATTATATCTGTTAATACTTAGCCATACTGAAAGTTATAACTGAAAGCTAAAATACGTTATAGTTCATTTTAAAACAGTGTGAAACCTGCTTCTAGTTAACCCTACACACACACACACACACACACACACACACACACACACACACACACACACACTGGTTGTTTTATTTTGAGTCAGGATCTTATTGTGTAGGTGAAATGGAATTCACTCTGTAGACACAGATGAGTTCAAAAGTATAGACATCTTCTTGTTATCACCTCCTGAGTACAAGCATTCAAGGCATGTGCTACCATGTCTGGTTCTAAACGATATATTTTTGGCTATACTCCAAAATGACCCTTTCCACAAATCAGTGGATGAATAGATTAAAAGTAATGTTGCAAACCAGGGACAGAGACTAAGTATGTATATTGTATGATCTCACATGTGTTAGCATCCTACTGCTTTTAACATACAGGAGAAAACAACGTGAAAACAGAAACAATTTACTTTAGCAGACCACTTTTGTCTTACTTTGCTCTTGGTCTCTCTTGATTTGGGTAGTTTCTCTGCCTTAGCCTCCTGAGAGCTGGAGTTATTTTAGATTATATTTTTGATTGTATTTCTTTTTTTTTTAAAGTTATATCTTTTATTGTGGTGATATATTTGTGTCAAATAAAGCTTGCCTGAGGATCAGAGGACAGAGCTAGCCACTAGATAAAACAGAGGCCAGGCAGTGGTGGCACACACCCTTAATCCTATCACTCAAGGAGGCAGAGGCAGAGATCCAGTGATCAAAGCTACACTGGACTGCATGAAATTGATTCAGTCTAGGAGAGAAGCAGAGCCAGGCAGTGGTGGCACACACCTTTAATCCAGTACTTGAGATCTCATGTCTTTGCTACCAGTATTTGGGAAGCACACACACTGTTAATCCCAGCACTATGAAGGAAATGAAATGGCTGGGTGGAGAAAGGTATAGAAGGCGTGAGGAAACAGGAACTAGAGTTTTTCAGCTGAGGATTCAGAGGCTTTCAATCAGAGGATTTGTGGAGATAGGATCTCACCTCCCATTCGGCCTGAGGATTCAGTAGTGGTAAGAAGTTCCTCTAGTGGCTTGTTCCTTTGTCTCTCTGATCTTTCAGCATTTACCCCAATATCTGGCTCCAGGTTTTTTATTATAAGACCATTTAGGATTCATGCAACGTTTTATTTTTTGAGATTATAATAAGTTACATCATTTCTCCTTTCTTTCCTCCCTCTAAACCTTCCCTTTACTCCTTACTCTCTTTCAAAAGCATAGTCTCTATTTTCATTAAATGTTGTATGTACAGATGTATATGCATAGATGTATATGTATTTTCCTAAACACATAAATACAACTGTTGTTGTTTTTGCTCTTTTGGGGGGGCTGCCACCCAACTCCCCAATCACACACAGAGGTAATCGTAAATTCTTGGCCTTATCTTGGCTTGTTTCTAGCCAGCTTTTCTTAAATTATCCCATCTACCTTTTGCCTCTGGGCTTTTACCTTTCTCTATTTCTGAATACCTTTTCTTTCCTTCTTACTCCATGGCTTGCTGTGTAGTTGGGTGACTGGTCCCTGGTGTCCTCCTCTTTCCTCTTGCTCCTTGATCCTTTTTCTCTCAGGTTTCTTCTATTTATTCTCTCTGCTTGCCAGCCCCACCCATTCCTTCTCCTGCTTTTTATTAGACCATCAGGTGTTTTAGACAGGCAAAATCACACAGCCTCACAGAGTTAAACAAATGCAACACATTAAAACAAATGTTCCACAGTATAAACAAATTCAACACACCTTAAAATAATATTCTACATACAACCTGTTCAGTCTGATTATGTTACTTGTATGTATGTTTTCAGAGCTGGCCAGTTAGTATTCAGATAGTATTGGCCAGTTGGTTTGCCCTTGTCTGGGGAAGACTGTTTCTCCTATTCTCAGTATTCCTTAGTTGCCTGTAGTTCTTGGTGTAGGATTGAGGCCTCCTGGGGTTCCTTGCTCCCATTTCCCTCTTAGCATGTCTGTTGTCCTTATTCAGCTCACATTTTAGCAGTCATTTTGGGGAGACTTTATGGGTTGTAGCTTCTGACATTCCTAAGAAACACAATCTCACAACAAACTCCATGATCTTCTGGCTCTCACAATCTTTCTTCCCCCTCTTCCACTGGATTCCCTGATACCTGGGTTTGGGAGTGTTTTGCAGATTTATCCATTGAAATTAGGCTCCATAACTCTGCATTTTGATTAGTTAGACTTTTCTGTAATGGTCTCAGTCTGTTGCAAAGAGAAGTTTTCTTTTTGTTTTTTTGTTTTTGTTTTGTTTTGAGATAGGGTTGCTCTGTGTAGCTTTGCGCCTTTCCTGGATCTCACTCTGTAGACTAGGCTGGCCTTGAACTCACAAAGATCCACCTGGCTCTGCCTCCCAATTACTGTGATTAAAGGTGTGCACCACCACCGCCCGGCTGAGTTTTTTTGATGAGGAATGAGGATTATATGTTTTCTGTGGGTATAAGGACCTTCAAGTGTTTTGAATGATGTTAGAGATTATGTTGATTTAGTAAAGTAGTGGTTGTAGGTTCTCCATCAAGGTCCATGACTTCACTAGCCCTGGGTAGTTGGTTGGTTTCCTGTAACAAGATGATATCTCTTCTGCTGAGCAAGTCTTAACATCCAATTAGAAATGTAAGACCCACCAAGTATGAGTACCACTAATGCACCCTTAGGGTTATCTGTTGTATGAATTCTAAAATGGTCTTATAAAAAACCTGGAGCTAGATATTGGGGTAAATGTTGAAAGATCAGAGAGACAAAGGAACAATCCATAGCCACCTCTTACCTCTAGGACTCCTCAGCCTGAAAAAGCCTTCATTCCTCCTCATACCTTATATACCTTTCTCTGCCCAGCTGTTTCACTTCCTTCCTAGTGCTGGGATTAAAGGTGTGTGCCATGACTGCCTGGCTCTGTTTCTCTCCTAGACTGAGTCAATCTCATTCCAGGCTGGCTTTGAACTCACAGAGATCCAGATGGATCTCTGCCTCCCAAGTGCTAGGATTAAAGGTGTGTGCCACCCCTGCCTGCCCTCTATGTTTAATCTAGTGGCTTATTCTGTTCTCTGATCTTAAGGCAAATTTTGTTAGTATACACAGTGTATCATCACCGTTATCATGCCATGCTGGTGTTGTTGGGGTTAATAGATGTCATAGCTGGGTAGGACTGACGGTTCCCTTGTCAGAGTCCAGCTCTGACCTGTCAAAAGGTTCTTGTCGGGAGGAGAGAGAAATGAGTAAGTATTAGATAGAAATATAGGCAGAGAGGACAAGAAAGACAGAGACACAGGACAGCTTCAGGAGGGCCCTGGGTCAATACCCAGCCTCCTTGAGGTTTATTCTGAAGGGCTTTTTATATAATGCTGAGCGGCGAGGCAAAAGACCCTCCCCCTTTCAAGATCAAAGCACACCATACAGCCAAGTGTAGACCCTTCAAAACACCTGGTAACCACACCTGTGGCCAAATCATCCCATTATTCAGCCCTGCTGGGTAAAGCAAACCCAGATTCTCTGGCCCTGAGTAAGGTCTTACTAGGAAGCCGCTGTGAGCCTCCACATTTCTTCCCACCTATGGGAGTTTGTATGGCATCTTCTGGTACCAGGAAAGCTAGTCCTGGGGGAGGAGGATTTTGGGTCAGATCCAATTTGTATATTTCTTTATGCTTTTTTCTTTCAGTCTGCCTTTAGCCAGAGCTACAACCTTGTTCCTTTTGTTACCTGTTGCTGTTTACTTTTACCTCCTCTATTTCTCTTTCTATAACCCTAATATTAACTACTTGTTTTCTCTTTTATTTCTCATACCCAAGTAGCTTCTATCTTAATAAACAGTACTATCAGTGTTTCTCTATTTCCTACAATGATTGGAGTTGAGAAGATTCTTTTTCATTGATGATTACTATATTTTCATATGGAGGCTGTGCTTTGACTCCCTGTGACATTTTATTTAAAATACTAACCATAAAAACAAAGGCATAAAGATAAACCTATCAGAATAGTAGCAGATTTCTCAATACAAACTTAAAAGCCAGAAAGCATGGAATGAATCATTTTGATCTCTCAAAGTCACTAACTGCCAATACAGATTACTATATCCAGAAAAATTGTCTGCCATAATTAAAGGAGAAAGACTTTCCACAACAAAAACAAACTAAAGAATTCATACCACTTAGCACTATATATGATACTTGAAGGAATTCTCTGGATATAGAGAAACATAAACATATCCATAAGGCTATAGGGATGATGGTGGAGGAGGAAGCAGCTGGGCTTTCTGTGCCTCTGGCTCCCAAGTCTTTATTTGATAAAATAGAACAATAGAGACTTAGTTAGAAACAACATGAATTAAATAGCATCAAAGATCAAAGACCTCACAAACATCTACAGAAATTCCATCCAAACACTGCTGAATACACATTGTCAGCAGCTAATGGAACATTTTTTGTAGCAGGAAAGAAAGCACATCTAACAAATGTATAAAAACTGAAATAATTTCTTATATTCAATCTGACCATTATAGAACAAAACTACAAATTAATAGCAAAAGAAACTAAAGAACACACACAAACTCATGGAGATTGAACAACAGACAAAACATTCCTGAA